GGCAGGCAGGAAGGGTATGTCTGAAAATGAAGGAAATTTTTCTTGGACGACATGACGCAGCACCTAGTCACCTGCATTTCTAAGAAAAGGTATTTTTCAAATTCCCGGCGTCATATACAGGTTTACACGTGTTGTCCCTGAATCCGTCCCTGTATTTCGAGCTTAATTCAATGTGGGCCCAGTTGTGTTTGTTGGTATTCTTGATGGGAAAGCATTCCTGCCGCAATACGTTTGTTTCCGTTGAAAAAATAAACTTCCTCTATCTCCCTCCCCAGAATGAAGAGAAATACGCCCAAGAAACATTTACTTTACTTTATGCACCCTGATAGATTGGGGTTCATTTGGATAATATTTTCAGAACCTTTTATGCATTTTAGGATCTTCATAAATCATCACCAAATACGTTCTTCAACCACTTTATGTGGTCTCATATAAATGTATATACTTTAGAATGCTTGATACATCCCATCTTTGCTCCATCATTACTTACTGATAAGTACATGGCAGTATATAGTAACCTTCTCCGTTTAAGTCCAGATAAGAGGACACTAAGGGCGCCAGACCTATCTGGGGACAACTGAATTTATAATGTTGCCTTAGGGACTGGTGCAAGTCTAGAGAAATCATCTAAGTGATTTATTGCTTGAAAGTGGACATACGTACATATACTCGGATTATGTCTATTGATGGCAGAAATTCAGATATCTTCCATCTGTCTTAGCAATCTGATCTACATGCACACGTTAGTATTGTCTGGCCTATAGTGCATAAACCATTTTTAAACGAGTTTCCTCAGTCAGTTCTAGACAATTTTTATACTGTGTAAACAATGCAGGAAATTTAAAAACTTGACACTTTCCGGTGTTATAAACTTTAAAATCTGACTTAAGTTGAGACACATATTTACCCATTTAAGAACAATAAATAAAGAAAACAACAACATATGTATGTTAATAAGCCACTAACAGAATATGAAGCAGACAGAAATCTTCTTGCTCAAACTCTGTGTTTGATTGAAGTTTCTATGATTTAACTTGACTGATCTTCCCAACCCCTTTAATAAACTCCAAAGCCGCGAAGCCTAAGTTAGACGAAGAAAAAGGTTGAAGTTTTTAAGCAGATTGCGTGTGGGACTCGCGCGTCTCCGTGTGTCTGGCTGGGGGACAATATTGAGGGAATACATCAAAATTCATAAGGCACAAAATCAATTAGATTTCCCGTGTAGGAAATATATCAATCACTTTGGCCGGAGGACAGAATCCAGGCGTGTTTTATAAGTGTTTTGAGGATTTACTTGTCTCATGTATGCTCTTAGGTAAACCACTCATAAGATCATTCTAAATTGATATTGGGTCATATCAGTTTTGATATTCAGTAATCAGTTCAGTGAACAACAGTTGGGACTGTTTTACGCTGTCCGTCTCATGGGGTGGACGGTGTTCATTTGGAACAAACTTCTGTCCTGATTGATGGCCTAGACTAAGCTCTGACAGAGTCTGTTGTTTTGAATCCCCTTGTTGGTATTGGAATGACATGAGCCAGCGTGTTTCCGATGTAGTAAAAGGCACATCTATCAACCAAACACACATTATAAGCAAAGTGTCACTGGTGTTTTTTATGGTTTCTTTGACTAAAAAAGGATTCTCTCGACGGAACAGAAAAAATAGTGAAATATTCACAAGTTTACATTTTCTTGAACTCATTCAGTGCCAGTACATTCCTTCCGATTCGTGTGTGGTGATATGGCTTGGCGTGAGGCAGGGATGACCAAATATTTGTGCTGAGCATCGTTAGTTGCATATTGGGGACATGCAAGTATTCTATAATCGCAAGTTAGGTTTTCTTATTCTACAGCCCCAACGAAATGACGTAATTTCAACAAAAAAATGTCAAATATATTTCTTATAACACATATAGTATAACCTACATAACACTTTCTTATTTAGATAATAATCAAAATATATCTCCGTTATACACATTCCGTTCCATCCTCTTATATTTGAAAATCTGAAAAAGTGAAATATGACGTGTAATAACAGTGCATTTATACTTTGTTATACTACCTGTTGGTCATACCAAGGGATACAATGGTCTCATGAATCCATTTATCTACAACTAGCTATGCAGAAGACCAAACGTATACAAATCAAAACTTACAATTGGACTGTCGTTGCCGCCATGTTTGAAGTCGAATCAGAACTATGCGACCACTTTTCACTAGTAGATACACCGTAATCATACATGCATGCCAATTTTCAGTGTCGGCCAAGAGGTGTCAAAAGGATAAAATTTCCTTCTACTCAATTTCCTACGAATGTTTTAATTGTGTCGTATTAATCAGTCTGTTAAAAGAATGTCAGCTTTTTCTCACGAAAACCATTTATGTCTATTTGCATCCATTTCGTCGACTTCGCGACATTAAACAGGAGTCTGGGTATGATAGACTAACGTTTATGTGTGATATATTGCAAGGGTTCATCTGATTCCCTTCTCGGTTAAAGTTCTCCACCTCAGATTGATGTATTCCCAGCAGCGATCGTAATGTGCACGGTTCAGCGTTCCATGGATCATACAAGCATATGGAAATGGTGATATAACATTTATACACTTCACTTGTCAAACCGACAGACATGAGTCACGGCATTACACTGTACCACGCTAAACAGTCTACAGTTGCCCTGACGCCAGCGGTGCCAGTCATATCCAATATTTGGCGAGTTTCGTGAAGGCAATGATGTACACAGTGCATCTCTGTGCTTGTCGCTGGATACGTCTGACGAATTTGAAGTATAGGAGTCTAGCCGCTGGGCTTGGGTCTTTCACGTATGTGTGTTTACGTGTGTGGGCGTGTGTGTTTCTGTATCCGACTGGGTGGGCGGATGTAGGGAGGATGTATATTGACGTGTCACGGGTATTATGTATGCTTGACATCCATGGGGTATTTCAGCGTCGCGTCGAGAACGCCAGACTGCAACTGTGAGATATCGACATACAGGAACTGATTCAAGTACAAAATGACCTGTTTTCAATGAGGTATTTTTTTTATCCTGCTGTGTTCAACAGTATCTCCATTCACATCATGACATGGTAGCTGGTGTACAGCCTGAAGTGACAAGAACGTGGACGTTTACCACCCAGAGGAGACTCCCAGTGTCTTTGGTATTGAGCGGATTTTAAAATATCTACTCCTCAACACACGTTGTTTTTTCGTAGTAAATTAATCAATCAATAAAACCTTCCTTCCCTCATCAGTAAAAACAATATGCAAAGATTTCTTTAATACAGACCGGCTAACGGGTATTTCTTTATTTGACCGTTTCATGCAGTTTGTTATATGTAAATGAGTGAGTGAGTTTAGTTTGACGCCGCTTTTAGCAATATTCCAGCAATATCCCGGCGGGGGACACCAGAAATGGGCTTCACACATTGTACCCATGTGAGGAATCGAACCCGGGACTTCGGCGTGACGAGCGAACGCTTTAACCACAAGGCTACCCCACCGCCCGTTGGATGGCATCAGTACAGTATTCTTTAATCTGTAGCGAACATGTCCATGGTAACAAATATCCATGGACAAGAGCCACACATTCCGTACAGCAGTATCTATCATGATGATTCTTCGTCTTTGCTTCATTGCAAACAGTACTCATGGTTCAGAGTGCAGGTGACGATGCTATCTAAACGAAATAGAATCTCCAAACTGTGTTATACGGAATACCTCCGGCAAACAACAACGTCAATAAGAACATAATAGAGTCCCATCAATACATCTATAAGTCTAAACGATTTGAAAAATTATATTAACAATTATATGCAATCAATTAATGAAGTGTAGCTCCAAGCTCAATGTTTATAAGCACCTACAACGCACATATATGATTTAATTTGTAGGTTTAACCAGTTCTTGTGTATTTTGTTTAAATGATATATGTACTGGTGAGGTATTGATATAAGCAGAGTTCTGCTTGTTTACCAAACCAGATTCTCTAGGAATAAAAATATGTTTAAACCAAATAGAATCATCTCATGATAATCATCAAATGTAAAGTTTCACCTCGATCGCTGTGATTTTTTATCCATCATTCTGTTTGTTTTCAAAAACCAAAACACATTACAGTCTAAAATTAACAATTTATTGTCACTGTTTTCGTACAGTACATGGATTCAGCGAGCAGTCTCACTTGATTCATCAATGATTCACTTGCTAATGATATATACCCAAATGATACACGTGAGGTAAACCTCTTGAACCCGACATCGCTGGAACAGTATATATCAGATTACTCCTCAAAACAAGTGTCCATGGAGATACAGACAAAACAGCTGGGTCCACCGCCACACCGTCACTTCCATCATTTATGTAACTTATCTGTTGATTAGGATAAACACAGCACCTGTTGAATGTGTATGCCAGATAACGTTATGTGATGAACGATCGCTATCTATTTATTCACATATATACTGATGGACAGGAAAAACAAGGAAACGGAAATATACCGCCCCCGTACAAGTTATACATAGATATGCATATCAACAGAACGGAGAGGGAGTGAAGATGTTTACAAATGTTTACCAATGCTCTAGTCACGACCTGGGAGACTAACAGTTAGCTTCACATTTGGGAAATGTTAGACTTGCACAAGTCTCAAGATAATAATCAATACTTCAAATGAAAATTTCTAAAAAATAACAGACTAACGTCCTGTCCGCTTATCTAGACGTTAAAGGATAGACTTACTATACATCCATGACCTTAGCATTCAGTACTGCTAGGGTAATGGGAGCAAGGGTTGATTGGTTGGTTGTTTTACGCCGCACTCAGCAATATTCCAGCTATATGGCGGCGGTCGAGCCTGGACCAGATAATCCAGTGATCAACAACATGAGCGTCAATCTACGCAATTGGGATACGATGACATGTGTCAACCAAGTCAGCGAGCCTGACCACCTGATCCTGTTAGTCGCCTCTTACGACAAGCATGGGTTACTGAAGATCAAAACCACAGACAAATGCATCCCACCATTCCTCAAGGACATGAGGATACTCGACACTTTCACTATGTACAACAGAACAGGTCTGATTGTACGGTCGTTAAAGAAACATATCTGTCCTTCGGCAACCTGACTTAGTGAAAAAGGCCGCATATTGGTCCGTCGTTTATCAAGTTGACCTTATCTGTACCACGACATCATCACGTTTTGGCGAGTGGGAATACTGGTTCATGTAAAAATCTTTCTTAAAAATATCAGGAAAATCTTTGGCTTTCTGGAAGCACACGCGTAACGCAGCTTTGCCTGCAGATAAAGAAGAAGAAACCTTTATCACGACAATGGGGTCACAATGACATGGTCGTTTTTGTCTGGCGTCTATTTTTCTGGTCTATAAGCGGATGCATCTCCTTGTAGTTTAACTGTGTTATTTTAATTGCTAGGTGAGATTATTGTCGATCGCTGCAGCAAACATCACCGCTTATCTGAAACTCATTACACGCACATTTCAATGAGAGTTGTTTTGCACACAAAACTGTAAGGTCGCAATTTTGCATACCACATGCGAAATTTGGTAGTTTTTTGGCAAAGGTCACAGATAATGATGACGTCACCAGTAACTGAGCACAGTTATAGTCCCTGGTTTTTCTGGTGAAGCTGTGACGAGACGGAGGTCGCTGACTTTCATCAGATGAAGCAACGTGGGCTGACGGTGAATGCAGTTCAAGACATTTCCAGTCTGAAATGAAACATAAAGATAAATACTCGCCAATCTCTCACAGCCAGTGTAACATTAATGGTCATAAATAACATCCCACTTGGAACACCAAAACATAAACAAAACGTTACATGTATATTGTTCCGGACTGCCTTAGGCAGAGGTTAAGAAATCTATTTTACGTGCCAAATTGTGACAATAAGGTAGAACCACGGGGCATGTAGCTGTGTGTTTGTACTTGCACAAAAGGAATACAATACAGAAGAAGATTACATACGTATTAAAAGCTTCTATACAAGAGAATATCTGTACGATTAGTAAGTATTTTATATATTATCAATAACATGGCAGACATTGACAGACTCAACATAACAAATAACACAAACATAAATACTGTCTGTGAAATGGGTAAACTGAAAATTGCAATTTCCTAAATTTGTCGCTGGGGACCAAACTGCAGAGAGACCATTGCTGAGATCTTACATGCACAGGAATTGGGACGAAAGATAAAAATTGGTGCAAAGATGGCTTTTTATTTTTTTGCTTAGTGATAACATTAAACCATTAGCGTTGGTCCTCATTGGAATGCATGCACCTCATGACCGTAATGGGAAGGTAAATGTTTTATCGGACTGTATCTGTAACCAGATAGTATGGATAGTTCCTCAAATCATAAACATCATGGGGGGTTTTTACATATAAAATTGGTACTTACTCTGTAATCCCAAACAACCAGTTTCTTCTGATCTCCTCCTGTAACCAGCCTGTCTTCGTTCAGGTGGATACATCGGACGATGCCAAGGTGTTGACGTTGCTTGTGTAATAGCTCACCTGCAACAGGCAAAAAATGACGTATTCTTATAGAATGGCATTCAACTTACTGTCTGTTGGATGAATCCTGTCATTTCACAGCTTTCGGTCTGAGATTAGCACCATTCAGTACCCCAGTTCTTTCAGTCAGACTGGATACCGTCTCCATACAAACCAGGTGACCCTCACTTCAAGAGAACTTAAAACGAAGTTTGGTCGCCTGATTAAAGTGTGAGATGCCTATTAGCTTTCATTGTTTTTTTCAAAAAAGATAATCAGGCTGAAGAGTTACGTGGCGGTTATTATTCTCCATTCGGAACAGCCTGATCCTGTGATTTGGTGATATGGCCATTATGTTTAATTTTGGGTGGACATTTGCACATCAGCTTCTAATGATGCACGTGCGGAAACACCTGCGCGTGATGTGTGACCTTTGTCATAACGATAGCGACGGACAATTACAGCAAATATTAATAATACACCTGGTTGAATAATTAGCGACTCGAGCGTGGTTTAAATAAAGAATCTCGGTATGGTGGAAGATAATATTAGTCGATGATAACTTCCGGTAGGCACACACTAGTTAGGAGCAACAGCACGAAGTGAAACCATGGCTATTCATGCCTGAAGCCCGCTATAGAGACTTACTGACAGCCTCGCCTCGTAATAACGGCAATTTGTCATGACAGTATTGACGCATTGTAATGGCCAGTGAATGCATCTTCAAGACGAAAACAGGCCTTTCAATGTGTCTAACAATACACTTTGAATTATAACTCGGCTTAAATAGATAAACACAAACGGAAGGCATTGCATCGAACCGGTTTGACACAAATCGACTTCCACTGTAAGAGTTTAGCAATTTGAAAATGTTCAAAATGAAGTCACCAAACGTATAGACTCCATAGAACATTTGATACCAACAAGTTTATTTATTTATTTGTTTGTTGGAAACGCCGCATACAGTTTTCCTAATTCTCAAAAAATAACGTTTACTTACATTATTTTAGTTACAAAAGTACAACTGGTAAAACCAAATATAAGTTTTATTTTTAAAAAGCGTATTAAAAAAGGGTAAATGTCTATTCGTGGGTAATATGCACATACACCATTTGGAGACGAAGATTTCTCAACTTTCTCTTTACAAAAGAATTTTTCATTTGAAAAGAATAATAGCTTTAAGCTTCTTCCTTATGAAATAGAATGCGACGAGCAAAAACTAAATTTATTGACATGGACGTTCTAAAACGTGACTTAGGAATTGTTAGTATTACACAAACGCTTCTCATGTGGAACATACCTATCAGCTTCCTTCAAAAAAGCGATTTGTAAAGAGCTGTGTACAGCTGTGACAAGCTTATATTTGATGACACATTCCTTACTAATCCTGATGAAACGAATCTTTCTACAACCCCTGTCCTCTTCATCACGGTTCACCAATTAGAAGACAGGGGAACAAAACAAAGTGACATTTGAAAAGAAGTGCCCGACCGTATCTACCCGTGTCATTCCGCCAAAACATGCCTTATTTAGACAAGCTGCTCCAGTTGCCTCCCCGTTGCCTCCCCGTTGCGCATGAGTGGATCTCTATTTCCGGTGCAGTAAAGCTGAACGTTGGGACGTATGAAGGGACAGACTGAAGACGGGTCTTTATGACATGTTCGAGATAATGATATGGGGCTATTATCAACGTCATTTTAATATATCCAACAGAATTTGTATCAAGGGATAATATCTTCTCGGATATCGTTTGTATGGGTAACCTGGTTGAAAAGTGAAATCTCGTTACGCTGAAGACATTGTGTTAACTTATGTTCGGTGTCCAGTGAAGTCAAATGACATGTATGGTTTTTTTTAAATATATAAAATAAATAAATAAAATAAAATTCTCTCAGTAAATTGAAGTTTGATGCCATTCTTTTGCATGGTATTTCAGCGAATTATATTGCAAGAAATGAACTGACGTCATATACAACAGAACCTAACGAAGTGAAATGAGGACAGTCAAACATTCGAATGGTTCTTCACTTGTTGAACTACTGATGCAAGTATTGTCTTTCAATCGAAGAAGCTGATATTTGATTGATATTTCAGTATTTCAGTTAGATAATGTGAAAGAAAAGCCCGAAGTGTTGCAGGTCCCAGACGTTTTACAAAACTTCATTGAAATACTCGATGGCGGGTTTGGTGCAGACAAACCTACAATCATAGCTGGGGCGAACCGTGCTTAGAAATTCGAACCCATGATCATAGGTTTCTGACGTGCTTAGACGACTGGGCCACCCATAACCCCCTAAACCCACACTACAATCCTCTATAAAGACCACCTATCCCCACCCAGTCTCTCTTTCCTAAACACACACGTACGCGCGCACACAGAGCTGGCCTTGTGGTTAAAGCACTCCAGCACCGCACTAAAGGCACAGGTTCGATTCTCAAGGTGACGGTTCTCCACGTATAACAATACTGTCTCCCTTAAAGAACCAGTAATTACATTCACTTAATGCGACATCCTGGACCAAGCACAAAAATACACAAAACCCACAAATAAGCACTCACAAAACTCACGCGACACAACATGCAAAACCTCTAGCGCGAGACAACCAATAAATTTTTGTCTAATGCGAGACAACCAATAAATTTATCTCATTATTGTAGCTGATCTAAATTAATAAAGGGATTGTGGGCGCATGTCCAGCACGCCACACCATCTGAAGCCTTCACGGAATGTATTGTGGGTTCCACCATCAGTATACCAAGTAATTATCCCCGCAGTTACAAGAACATAATTGACGGACTTGTGGCTATCGTCAAAATTAATCGACTATTGAGTGCTCCCATAGTGCAGATTATTATCTCGGATATGGGAACATTTAGCCATCATCCCAGCGTCCCCTGAACCGAACAGCATTTGTAGATCCGGTCTTGTCGTATTCTTTAATTGCAGCTGTCTTTCTTTACTTGTTGTTAAGAGATACGCCTGGAGCAAAAAGGGACGGCTTTTCCTCCTTCGGTGACACGCTCGGCGCAGGTGGAAGATGTGTAAATCATGCATACGTCTACTTATAGATACTGCGACCAGATGGATATGAACTGATGAAAAACAGCGATAAAGCTGTCATTGCAGCGAGCTCTATTTCAATTGTGAAATGGTGAAGTCAGCAGGCACGGTCCAGCTCTATTAAAATGATCCAACAGTGATGAGGCCAGCAGTCACCTGGCCTGTTCTAGTGAAATGATCAAACTGTGATGAGACAGCTCTACTGAAATGATCAAACGGTGATAGAGACAGCAGTTCCTGGGACTGTTCTCTTAAAATGATCAAACGGTGATAGAGATAGCAGTTATAGGGACTGTTCTCTTAAAATGATCAAACGGCGATAGAGACAGCAGTTATAGGGACTGCTCTATTGAAATGATCAAACGATGATAGAGACAACAGTTATAGGGGCTGTTCTCTTAAAATGATCAAACGATGATAGAGACAGCAGTTATAGGGACTGTTCTCTTAAAATGATCAAACGATGATAGAGACAGCAGTTATAGGGACTGTTCTCTTAAAATGATCAAACGATGATAGAGACAGCAGTTATGGGGACTGTTCTCTTAAAATGATCAAACGATGATAGAGACAACAGTTATAGGGACTGTTCTCTTAAAATGATCAAACGATGATAGAGACAACAGTTATAGGGACTGTTCTCTTAAAATGATCAAACGATGATAGAGACAGCAGTTATAGGGACTGTTCTCTTAAAATGATCAAACGATGATAGAGACAGCAGTTATAGGGACTGTTCTCTATTAAAATGATAGAGACATGTTCTCTTAAAATGATCAAGCGGTGATAGAGACAGCAGTTACTGGGACTGTTCTCTTAAAATGATCAAACGATGATAGAGACAGCAGTTACTGGGACTGTTCTCTTAAAATGATCAAACGATGATAGAGACAACAGTTATAGGGACTGTTCTCTTAAAATGATCAAACGATGATAGAGACAACAGTTATAGGGACTGTTCTCTTAAAATGATCAAACGGTGATAGAGACAGCAGTTACTGGGACTGTTCTCTTAAAATGATCAAACGATGATAGAGACAACAGTTATAGGGACTGTTCTCTTAAAATGATCAAACGATGACAGAGAAAACAGTTATAGGGACTGCTCTATTAAAATGATCAAACGATGATAGAGACAACAGTTATAGGGACTGTTCTCTTAAAATGATCAAACGATGACAGAGACAACAGTTATAGGGACTGCTCTATTAAAATGATCAAACGATGATAGAGACAGCAGTTATAGGGACGGTTCTCTTAAAATGATCAAACGGTGATAGAGACAGCAGTTATAGGGACTGTTCTCTTAAAATGATCAAACGATGATAGACACAGCAGTTATAGGGACAGCTCTATTAAAATGATCAAACGGTGATAGAGACAGCAGTTATAGGGACTGTTCTCTTAAAATGATCAAACGGTGATAGAGACAACAGTTATAGGGACTGCTCTATTAAAATGATCAAACAGTGGTGGAGACAGCAGGTATTGGGTCTGCTCTACTGAAATGGCCAGTAAAGAAGTCAGCAGTTATAGGGCCAGCTCCAATGAAATGATGAAACTGTGATGAAGACAGCAGTTATTGGGCCTGCTCTATTGAAATGATCAAACAGTGGTGGAGACAGCAGTTATTGGGTCTGCTCTACTGAAATGGCCAGTAAAGAAGTCAGCAGTTATAGGGCCAGCTCCATTGAAATGATCAAACTGTGATGAAGACAGCAGTTATTGGGCCTGCTCTATTGAAATGATCAAAAAGTGATGAAGCAAACAGTAGTTTCGTCTATCCCTATTAATATCATAATGATAAAACCATCAGTCATTTTGTAATTAGTTATAATTTCTACATCCTCATGGTCCTGTTTGCCACTTTATCTGACATTTGTTTTACTGAACTGACTAATACAGTGATGAAAAGACATCTGTGAAATATACTGAGTCAAAAAAGAAACTTCACAAAATG